CCCCTCCCCGTGACTCCTCTGTCGGGGGATGTTCCATTGTGCACAGATGGGCTTTGGGTCTCCGCTCCAAGCACCCTCCATTCTCACCAATGCATTTTTGTTTGTTTACTCAAACCATGGAATTTTCAACCATTCTTATGCATAAGAAAGATGGACATTGAATAAAGACCCAAAACAAATCGATGCATTTGAACTATGGTGTTGGCAAAGAATCTTGAAAATACTATGGATTGCCAAAGAACAAACAAATCTTTCTGGGAAGAAGTGCAGCCAAAATACTCCTTAGAGGCAAGGCTGGTGACTTGTCTCATGTACTTTGGCCATGTTGTCAGGAGACACAAGTCCTGGAGCGGGACATCTTGCTTGGTAAAGTGGAGAAGAAAAGAAGGCCTGCGAGATAGATTGACACAACGGCTGCAACAAGTGGGCTCAAAAGTAAGACTAATCATGAGGATAGAGCAAAACCTGGCAGTGTTTCTTTCTGTTGTACATAGAGCCCCTGTGGATCAAGACCAACTTAATGGCACCTAACATTAAGAACAGCAACAAAAAGGAGCTCTCGTGGTGGAGTTATGTGTTATGTGTTGGGTGGATAACTCTGAAATCAATAGTTGGAACCCACCAGTGACCCTGAGGGAGAAAGAAGAGGCTTTCTACTCCTGTACCTTGGAAACCCACAGGCACAGTTCTATGCTGCCCTACAGGGTTGTTATGAATTGGAATCTATTCAATGACATTATGTTAGGCCAAGTTGACTAGAGAAACAAAGCCAATGACACGCATGTATGTGTAAAGAAGGTTTTATATCAAGAAGTAGTTATATACCAAGCAAACATCCCATCCCAGTCCAGATCAAGTCCATAAGTCCGATACTAGTCCATAAGTCCCTCTTCAGATTCATGCAGCCACATGCAATGATGTGGAGTGCATGAAGGTCACAGGCCGGTGGGTGCAGTCATGTGGACCCAATGGCAGTGGCCGCATCACATGGCTCCCAGTAACCAGGGTCAGACAGCAAGAAGGTGAAGGCAGGAGTGGGGCGTTGGATGTTCCCAGTACCCTCCTTATGGGAAGGCCACACTCACAAGGAGTCAATCTGTGACCCGATGGACAGGCTAACCTCCACCCTTACACTTTTATATATCTTTAAGTTGACATGAAATGATGTAATTACTTTAGTGAGTATGGTTTGGATTTAAATATGTGGAGGAATTATGTGCCCAGTGAATCTTAATTATATTATTTCATTAAACTCATACCAGTTCTTTGAAATGTCTCTATTTAAGGGATAAAAGGTTAGATTCTGTTGGTCTGCAGGTGGTTAAGTTGAAATCACAGGGATGAACTGTTCTCTTTCCACTACAGACACTTAAGGGATGGTTTGCTCTAGGGGGAATTACACACCTCTGACAAATGCAGCCAAAAAACCCCTAAAACAAACAAGTGTGAAGTGCAATGCAGCTGGATGGTGACAGGTGGGACATACTTAATACTCATTCCATCAGAAACAAATATAGAGCTAAATTCAAAATCCATTACGGGTATACAATACTGGCATGTTACAGATTGAGCAATACTGGCCATTTGTAGAGATTAAATAATATACCCGAGTTTGTTATGAGCACTCAATGTCAGATAATGTGTAACTAATATCTTAGGAGTTACTTGGGCTCCTAAATTACAGAAACTTTTATTATGTAGGATATTTTATTAACTTCTGTGACACCCTGAGATTAAGAATAATTACTTAAAAAAAAAGACATGAAAATATTTTCCTTTGATGCTCTTACCTAGCCCATTTTCTTTGCTTCTTGACAGCATCACAGAAACCTCAGTTCAGTAATGAGGAATTGTCCACGTGCTTATTCCTCTTTCATGGCCCTCAGCAGTCTGCCTTGGAAGGAGGCTTGCTAACTCAATGTTATCACATGACTCGATGACCATTTTAAAAGCTGCACCATGTGTTAGACCAGAACCAAGGCCAGTGACACTCATATGTATGACAGTTTTATATCAAGAATTATATATCAAGAAAGCAGCCCAGCCCAGTTCAACACAAGCCCCCAAGTCTGATAACTAGTCCATATGTCCCCCTTCAGAGTCACGCAGCCACATGCGATGACTGACAGCAGGAAGATCACCAGCCAACAGGTGCAGATTTGTGTGGATCCAAGGTTGGTGGAAACTTGGCAGGGCTCTGTAGCTTCAGGGTCAGTGGCAGAGAGGGGGTGGTTCCCAGGGCCCTCCCCAAGAGAAGGCCACACCTCTAGGAGGTGGGATCCCGCCAGTACACTTTCATACATCTTCAAGTTGACATAAACTTGCCCTAACTACCATCCACCACTTGTCTGAAGATATGGTGTCAGATGATCTAGATGAACAATGCGAACCTAGGAAGTAAGTCCAGATGTCCACTCTCCGGACCTTTATTAAGGAATGTGGCTTTAGGATTACTTCTTTGTAAAACGCAAAGAGATCAACTTGAAAGAAAGCCCTGGGGAATCAAGCTCCTTTCGTGGGTGCCTTGGCAAACATGCATGGAAACCCAAGGGAAGGAGCAGGTGGCTGTGGGCTAAAGAACACTAGTTGCAGGTGGAGTAAAAATAAAACTACAGATGGCTCACAGGGGTGACTCATGTCTCCACCGCCACCCATCCCCTTTCGTGTGTTTTGCTTTAAAAGAAAATCATTTTAGTGGGGGCTTATCCAACTCTTATCATAATCCATATGTACATCACTTGCATAAAGCACATTTGTAATTCATTACCCTCATTTTTTTTTCATTTTGAGTGTGAAGTTTTTACTAAGTGTAGCCCAGTTCTGAAGTCCTCTCACTGAAGACGTGATGCGTGCACGACCAGAAATCCATCTTTGCAATCTCTTCTCATTGTCATGTCTGATTTCCAAGAGGGTTTTTAAAAAAAATCATTTTACTGGGGGCTCATACAACTCTTATCACAATCCATCCATCCATCCACGCGTCAAGCACATTTGTACATTTGTTGCCATGATTATTCTCAAAACATTTGCTTTCTACTTGAACCCTTGGTGTCAGCTCATTTCCCCCTCCCTTCCTGCTCTCCCTCCCTCATGAGCCCTTGATAATTTATACACTATTATTACTTTTTCATGTCTTACACTGTCCGACGTCTCCCTTCACCCACTTTTCTGTTGTCCATCCCCTCAGGGAGGGGAGTTTTTTATGGGGCAACATTTGCTTGGAATTCAGTCTCTCTCATGCAGATATATTTTCTACCCCACTCAAATACAGTGAACCATATTTCTTTCTCACTGTCATGGAATTGATTGACTCATAATGACCTTCATAAAACAGGGCAGAACTGCCCCCCCTGTAGTTTGCAGAGGCTGTAATGCTTTATAGTAGAGAGGCTCGTCTATCTCCTAGAAGAGGCTGGAGTTTCAAACTGCTGACTTCGTAGTTGGCAGTCCAACTCTTAACCACGAGGATTCGGCTACCCAATTTAGCGCGCCCCAAACACACCCAGGAGGCGTAGAGACATACCCACGCCACCCCCAGTGCTTGGACTAAGGCGCTCTGGGACTCTGGTACCATGGGGATAAGAGCTTCATATGAAACTCTGCTTATTGAATTGGGATATATATATATATATATATATACACACACATACAGTCACCACTTGTCTCTGCTCCGAATCGAAGGCAACGATCTTCATCTCTAACGCTATAAATAGAGCACAGTCTCCCATAACTGGATCTATAATGCCTGCATTTAAGTCGGGAACGTCAGCTCGGCCACGCTCTTCAGTTGTGCTGTTCAGGCGCCTGGAGGAGTCACCGGACCCTCCCGTTGGCTTTGCACTCAAGGCTCTTTGATCAAAGCCCTGAGCGATGGGGTTCCCTCCTGTGACCCCAGCTCGCGGCCTTCGCCCCGCAAACCTCTCTCCAGGGGCGAGCGCAGGCCTTTTGCTCCCGGA